ACTCTGTCTGTCTGTCTCTCTCTCAAAATAAGTAAACTTTAAAAAAATAAATAAAATACAGTGATAACCCTCTTCACAAGGTGGGGGTTCTAAATATTACCCAGGAAAGGTATATGAAAAGCAAAGCATCCCTCACCAGAGGTCACGGTGAAGCAATGGATACAACCCCAGATGCCCAACTCACTGTTGAGTAAACTGAGTCCTGGATTAAGCAATTTACCCACCCTCATTCAAGTCAGGAAGGTGCAGCGTAGGATTCCTTGAATGGCGTGCCTCATTCTGTGGGGAAACGCCCCTTCAGCCACCCCCGCCCCTGTCCTGCTGGGTGGCTCTAGAAATAAACCCTGAAACTTATTACATAAGGAACAATTAAACAGGATGAGGAATCTTTTTTAAAAGATTCTAAGGCATCTCTGCACCCACCATGGGGCTCGAACTCACAACCCCGAGGGCAAGAGTCGCACGCTCCCCCGACCGAGCCAGCCGGGCGCCCTCGAGCTGAGGAATTTTCATGTCTAGAGTCGGTGGCCCTGAGTTTTTTTCCAGAGGACCAAACTCGGCGATCCTTAAGGGCCCAGTGACCCCTTGTTTCTGGAGTGGGAGGCGGGGAGGAAGATGCCCTATTCGGTCTCTAGCCTGGTGCCGTTGAAGTGTCACCACCCTTGAACCGGGTCGTCATGTTGGCCCCCTGTCCGGAGGTGGGTCTCACAGGGCTCCGGCAGCCGAGGTCACTAGGAGGACGAAAGCCTTGCCGAACTGTAAATCTGTAAAAACGTGTAACCCGCCCCTTCCCCCCGCAGGAAGTGGACCTATTCAGCTGTGGCAGTTCCTCCTGGAATTACTCTCGGACAAGTCCTGCCAGCCGTTCATCAGCTGGACCGGGGACGGATGGGAGTTCAAGCTCGCTGACCCCGATGAGGTATGGCCAGGGCTCGGGAAGTCCATCTCTGGGCTCAGAACCCTGATTTCCTCACCTTAGGCCCAGCTGGGCACACGGCAGGGTCCATGGCTACTAACCAGAGCAGCTCTAGTGTCCCGTGGGTGTGCACGTGGGCACCGGGCAGGCTTCTCCGTCTTGCTCTCTCCTCTGATGTAGAGGCACAAGCGGTAAACTGAGGGTCTCTCCCGACCACTCGCAAATGCCGTGGGGAGTTTGTCTTTTCCCCCCGCAGCCCCGTGCTGGTCCTCGGGGCTTCCCCTCTGCAGGAGGAGGCTGGGGGCAGATCCGAGACCCTCCCCTGCGGGCCTTAGAGAGGCCCGTGATCTCTGGCAGCAGGAAGGTGCAAAGAAGCACCGAGGAATGCATACCGTCCCGTGGCTCAGGACCACACCCGGCAGCTGTTGGCTGGGGTGCCTGGAATAGGAGCCCGGGGGGAGGGGGGACACAGCGTTTCCCTTGCGTCGGGGCCGCCTGACCGTGAACCATCGCTTCAGGCCGCAGGAGGCGGCGCGGCGGGTGGGGGCCCCTCCCTCCGTCCTCAGAGACACGGTGCCCCGGCAGGTGCCCTGAAACAGAGCACACACCCCCAGGGCTCGTGAGGGCCGGCCCGGTTCTCTCCGGGTAAGCGGGCACGACCACCCTCATCGGGGGAGAAGGTCCCCCCGCTTTTTCTTTACCTGCCCAGTTGAAGTCTCTCCCTCCGTGTCCGCCGCAGGTGGCCCGCCGGTGGGGGAAGAGGAAAAACAAGCCCAAGATGAACTACGAGAAGCTGAGCCGCGGTTTGCGCTACTACTACGACAAGAACATCATCCACAAGACGTCGGGCAAGCGCTACGTGTACCGCTTCGTGTGCGACCTGCAGCACCTGCTGGGGTTCACCCCCGAGGAACTGCACGCCATCCTGGGCGTCCAGCCCGACACGGAGGACTGAGGCCCGCGGGGCCCCGACCGGAGCCGGCCCCGCCCGCGTGGGCCCCCCCCACCCCCCACCCCGAGGACCCTGACAG